CTGCAAGTCTGCTTCTGGGCTAAATACAAAGTGCCTCCATAAGAGGAAATGAAATTTTTTGACAGATGATATATAAAAGAAGAGGCTCGGGTGGTGGGGAACACAGTGGTGAGGGATCAAAAATATGTATAAGCGTGAAAATAACAGTAGATGCAAAAAAATTATGTATTGTAAATAGCAATCAATATTATGTGTCTTCTGCATAACAAAGATGTATAACAATGTATTGAATTATGATAATATAAATAAAATATTTTAAAAAAAACATGAAATCTCACATGAAATTAATTTTATGCCTCGGTAATCTATTGATACATGAATTCTAATTTGGTTTATTCCATTCTTCACTAGATGAAAAATTATTATGACTGGGGAGGGGGGCTAGATATTTAAATGTACAAATCTGTCAAAATGAATACGAGTGAAAAGAGAGGCCTGGATAAAACTAGTAAATTTGTTTAAGTTCAAAATGTTAAAATCTAATTCAACTGAGATAAGCAATGCAAGACCCTCTTCCCCAACCAAATCATAGCCTTTGGTTATTGGCATATCTAATGTTTTCTAACACCCAGCAAGGACACAATTGGCCTCTAGTAACTATGTCTCTTAAATGGCAATAATACCAAACTTCTAGAAGGGATTGTAACATTTAAGGGTTCACTATTTTAATTTGCTGTCGAAGAAAGAATTTGAACACTGAAGTGCAATTAAAAGGGATTTAGTACGTTTGCAAAAAGTACTAAATCCCCCCAAAATGAAAAATGAATTATAGATGTCAGCACATTGTTGGCTACAAGTAGGATATTATGCAGATAGAAAAACCTATCAAAATATATCAAATCACTTCAGTACTGGGTTTGGAAAATTTCATATTATAGCAAAAGAATGCACATTCTCAGCATGTTTTTTTTCCAATTCCTGTTAAATTTCTTCAGATGGATTTGGTACCTTTTGGAAACAAACTCCACAATTGGAATTATATTATGAGCAAATTTGACATGTAATGAGTGAAGTTGACTACATCTGTTCAAAACAGATATATTGTTATAGATATTTCATATTTATTCCTTATGTTGAAGGTTGACAACTAGCTGAAATTCAGGAGAACTACATGATTTCATGCTCTCATGTGACTTTCTTTTTCTTTGAGTAATTAACAACTCATTTTTCAAACTATATTGTTTACACAGGATCTTGTTGCAGTTACATGGAAGTTCTGAACTGGGAAGTAATTTTGAAAGTAACTTGGAAATGCGTCAGCTCACTGTCCTCCAAATATCTCTGGGTAAAAACATGTTTGGTAGGATGTTATAGAAATAGAATTAATGCCAAGGTGACACCAGTGAGTCTTCAAAGCTACCCTCTAGTATTAACTCACATCCATTTTCATCTCTATATTTGAAAAATGTTCAATCAAGCCAGATAACACAAAAAATTAGCTTTTGCAACTGATTATTTACTTGACTTGAGCTCCTTCATTAAAATGTGTTCATCAAGTGAAGATATCATAAGGCAATTAGTCCTAACACAGTTAAGAGATCTACATTAGTCTCTACAATTGAATTATTAGAGGGCCAGTCTTCAATATCTGTCTTTAAAAATCAAAAGCAAGGAAGTCATCTCTTTACATATCATTATTTCCGGGCCAATGCAAAGCATAGGAGTGAGGCATGGACCCATTTATTATGGTTTCAGAGTTTTCAACTTGTGAAAATGCTTTGACTGCCTAACATTGCCTTGAGTATTCTCCTCATAGATAGTATAACATTTAGACCCCCTTTTACAGATCTCCCACCCAAATCCCTCCAAGGGTCCTTCCACACAGCCATATAACCCAGAATATCAAGACAGATAAACCACAATATCTGCTTTGAACAGAATTATCTGAGTATTGTCGAAGGCTTTCATGGCCGGAATCCATGGGTTGTTGTAGGTTTTTCCGGGCTATATGGCCATGTTCTGGAGGCAATTTTTCTCCTGACATTTTGCCTGCATCTATGGCAAGCATCCTCAGAGGAAATGAGTCCACGCTCGCATATAATCCAGTTCAATGTGGATTTTATACAGCTGTGTGGAAGGGGCTTATGTCTTTTTCCTAACCATGAAGGATACTGTAACTGCTTGATCTCCCTCTGTAAGTAACCTTTGAGATCCCCCTTTTCCAAGGCTTCCATTCCATCTTTTTCTGTGAGAAAGTACATTCATCCAAATGGGTATTTATTTATTTACTGTATTTGTATACCGCTTTTCTCAGCCTTATCGGCGACTCAAGGCGGTTTCCAACAAAACAGTATACATAGTATCACAACACAATTAAAACATTACAATTACATAAACCACAGCAGCAATAAAGCAACGTCATTAGCGTCTCCTTATTGTCTGGTAGTATAAACATTCCTTATTGTTCTTACGATTTGGGGCATGTTTACATTATCATTGATGGTTTGAAGGAGTGATAATTGCCTCCTTGTTGAAAGCTTTATTAGACTTCACAAGTGAGCTCAAATCCCAGCATCACAATTCCTTTCTTAGACAGGAGGTCTCTTGAAGTCAGCTGCAACAGCGATTGAACTGAGCATTTTGTGTAAAAAAAAAAAACATGCAGGCCAGCGATAGGTAATTACACATACTTCTCCAGAATCACAGGTGGGGAGATGTGTCTCATTTATTACATCTTAGTTATATTAGCATTCTGTTTCTCCAGTTGCCCATGGATAAACTTCCAAAAATACGAGATATTTTAATTCCAAGCAGGATAGGTACACAAAATAATTCTACGAAACAGTTATTTCCCAGGCTGAAAAGTGTATTTAATTTCTCCATTTCTTTGTTCAATGTGATTCCTATGTTCACAAAATCTTAGGCATTTCATAGGCACCAGACAGCTTCTTTAAAGGATAAAGAGGAATAAGGGGGAGGGAAATGTGGTAGTATCGCTGGCTTTTATTTTTGCACATGTCTTTGTGGGTACAAACCCACTTTTTTGGATACAGTTTTGCCCTTCATTTTTCCCTCCTTTTTATGTAGCAAGAGGTTAATATAACTACCTTTTTGAGAACTTCAGTAAAAAAAACATGAAGTGATAGTATACCAGCAATTGACACTTTAAGAAACAAAATATTTTGTTCCTCCTTCACAACTACTATAAAACTATGAGTCATTCAAAATAAACAAAGAGGTTTTAAATGTACAGTTGCCAGTGTCATGTTTGTAAAGGAATATTCTAAACAGCTACTAAAATGAGAAAGATTGGGATTAAAAACCTACAGTTTCCTTACACAAGCTGCCCCAGAACACCCAATTCTCCCCTTTCAGCTATGCAGATTCAAAATACACAAACTCACAGATAGGAATAATACACAATCAGCTACATTGTTTCTTTCTTTTTCTCTTTGCTGAACTCCATAGTCGTGACAAATACCTCCCTTTCCTGCTACTGTAAAAAATCAAGCGGCTACTGCCTTCCAAAGACAAGAAAGTTCACCTTTCCTGATGTAATTTCAGTGAAATTGTACCCAAATGAGGAAAAAACGCTAAATCAAATAAAAATATTTACTACATTGATCACAATGTAGTACCAGTAAATATTAAAACCAGAGGCTTCAGTAAGCAAGTGTACTTTGAATCATGTGTTTTAGAGATGCTCTGCGAAGTTTTAGTGGCATAGCATGAGTTGTTGAGGCACCCAAACTCTCCTATAACCCCTGCAAGTCAGCAAGTAAGGCATTGAATTTTGTCACTGTTTCTATGTAAACAGCTTTGAGTTCCCCCAGAGGTGAGAAAAGCTGTATATAAATACTGCAAAATAAATAAATAAATAAATAAATAAATAAATAAAGACAGACAGACCGACCGACTGACCGACAGAAAGAAGGAAGTCTGAGGGTTAGGTTAGAATGAATTTCTTAGGACCTCATCCCATGGGTGAAGGAAAAGCAGGGGGAAGTTGGGGGAACCATCTTACTTCATTCCCTACCACTGAGGTCCATCTTCTGGGATGGACAGCCACCCCACATTCCTTTCCCCATTTTTCCCTGTCTTCTCCCATTTTCTTCAGTTTGGAGTTGGATAGCACCTGACTCCTGAAGATGCATTCTGGGCTCTGGGTTAGTTGTAGGTTTTTCAGGATGTATGGCCATGTTCTAGAAGCATTCTCTCCTGATGTTTCACTTGCATCTATGGCAGGAATCCTCAGAGGTTGTGAGGTCTCCTGACATTTTGCCTGCATCTATGGCAGGCACCTCTGAGGATGCCTGCCATAGATGCAGGTGAAATATCAGGAGAGAATGCTTCTAGAACATAGCCATACAGCCCAAAAACCTACATCAACCCAGTGATTCTGGCCATGGAAGCCTTCAACAATACATATTCTGGGCTCTGTTTCCATGTGCTTCAGAAACAGAGTCCCACGGAGTCCCACTGAAAGTGTCCTTACATTATGTGGTGGCCTCCATGGGAATCCATTTCTGAAGTGCATGGAAATGGAGCCCAGCCTGTGTGGGAGGGGATTATTAATCTCTCTGTCCAAATCTTCTCCATTAACCTCTAATTCTGTCTTTTTCTTCTAATTATATGGGATTAAGTCTATCCTCCTCTCTAGAGCAACTGACATTCATGGTGGTATTCACCGAAAGTTCATGCCATTGGTACAATACAATATAAAAATTATCTTTTAAAATTGTGTTTAATTTGAAGTTCACAATCAAAATGTATGTTATGTTCAAATACTACAGTTCAAGCACCTACCACTTTTGTGTGTGTTTGGGGGGAGGGGGGCACTTGGGATGAATATACATGGAATATGAAGATCACTTGTCTCTAGCCAATAAAATGGTGAGCAAGCGGGCAGACGAGTTCATACAGTAAAGTCAAATGAAATCAAGCAAAATAAAATAGCTGGCCTTAAAAATCATGTATACTATGGCATTTTAATATTTCTTCAGTTAATCAAATTGAATTAAAGAGATGATGTATCAAATGAGAGGAAGAATGTAACTTACTGTGGTAAAGGAGTTGTACAAGTAATATATTGCCCATGAAATGATCACAATGTAGTAAATATTAAGCCAGAAGGACAAGACTGCAGCAGCTAATCCTACACCTACAGGAAAGAAAAAAATATGTCAGGATATTATAGATAACATATTCTTAGTTGCAAAATCATACTAGAAAGAATTTAGCCTAAAGGAGAACAAAAAAAATACTTTTCTGGGCACTTATACTGGGATGAAAATAATTAGGCTGAGTATATTGATCATTTTACTCATTCTCATGAATAGCAATAATTTCATGAGCTTTAGTCTGGAGTATTATTACTCCGGGGTGAGAAGGGCGGGGTAGAAGAAACCGAAATAAATAATAAATAAATAAATATTACAAAACTTCTTAATAACCACTGACAGCAAAATTACACTTTTCATATAAGATTGTGTTGAAAGACATGGTTTCTTTGCCAGGGAACAATTGCAGGAAAGTTTATGGGAAAGATATTTAACAAGAAGGGCAGTTATGTTTACTGAAAATTACCAAACTCAGATTGCTGTAGAAAGGAAAGAAGATGGATAAAATGGCATTCAGTTACCAGATTAATTTCTATGTGGCTTAGAAAATTAGCTGACAGGTGGGAAATTGTCCATTGAGAAATAAATGCTGTGGATGATGGATTGCATCAATGTCAAATATTGAAGGAATTAATAGGGAACTGTGTAACCAGTGGTTCTCAACCTGTGGTCTGCCAGGTGTTTTTGTCTACAACTCCCAGAAATTCCAGCCAGTTTACCAGCTGTTAGAATTTCTGGGAGTTGAAGGCCAAAACATCTGGGGACCCACAGGTTGAGAAGCACTGATATAGACTTTATAGACTTTCCTGGTAAGCTACAATAACTGAATAGTTAGGAGGTCACTCCCTTCCTGTCTTGCTTATACTTCCAAGGGGGAGCAGTAATAGCACAAAGGAACATTAGCAATACCATATTAATGACACTCTATTAACACATAATGAGTATGAAAGCAAAGCTACAATTAAACAGAAGATTTACTTTGTCAAAAACAACAGATATCCTTGTTTGAGACATTCATTCTGCCTTCCCACAAATTCAACCAGATATGGAGTCAGGAAAATAGTGATGACTTCAATGCATTTTGACAGCTTGATATTTGTTTGAGGGATAAAAGGGCAAACATTACACCAACAAAGTGAAAATCTGTAGCTATTCCCTCACAGATGTGTGAAATACATTTTGTCATATCTTACAAGTAGTAGTATTTTGATCAAATTGGAAATGTGCTGAAGTATGAAAGAAGGGACATTATGACTGAAGCTGTAACATTTGCACTCTGAAACTGCTGTTGATGCATGAGATGTGATAGTGTGTACATAACACTTACAGCTGAAATAATTTTTTAAATGAAAAAATCTTATTTTCTTTTATTCCCTCAAGTTCGAAATAACAGCTATTTAATCAGTAGTAACACCTATAAATTTAATGCATACTTTAATGCTATTGTGTAACTTTGAATTATTAGTTGAGGAAAAAAGCAACAATGAATTAAATAATAATAATACTTAATTCAATACAGTACCTTTAAACATTGGAGCAAGCTTCCAGACTCCAAGACCTCCTATGGACGTGTATTGGCCAAGTGAACATTCCAAAAGAAACAGGGGAACTCCAGCAAATATTAAAGTAAGGAAATATGGAATCAGGAATGCCCCTGAAAGCGTACAGAAAAAGAACAATTTAAACAAAGTGTAATCATTTTTTGTGATTTTACTAAGTGCAATGATGAGCATTGATTTTGGCATTAATTTTCTCTTTAAATTAAGCAATTCTTTTTAAAATTGCAGTATTTGCTATATTCACACACTTATAGGATACTCTCTCCAAATTCTAAACTCTTACTATTGTCAGAAGTTGGAGCTAAATTCAGTGTTGTGCTGGAGTGCTTTAGACGAATACCACTTTCTCCTTCTCTCCTACCCAACTCATGCAACTGCTAGAGTGGTGGTTCTCAGCCTGTGGGTCCCCAGATGTTTTGACCTTCAACTCCCGGAAATCCTAACAGCTGGTAAACTGGCTGGGATTTCTGGGAGTTGTAGGCTAAAACACCTGGGAACCCACAGGTTGAGAAAGTCTGCGCCAGAGGTCAGCTTTGGAGAACTTCTCAGACCTCTATAGAGCAGATTTATAGGGGTCTTACTGCCTCCTGTCTCCAGAATTATGCTAATGGAACTTAGTAGTCCAAACTGAACCACTTTTTGTTTTCACTAATTTTTCTAGAACAAACCATTAACAGACTCCTTAACTTCAGTAACACGGCTTGTTTGACATGTGATACTATATGTTGTTATTAACTGCTGCTATGTGAAGTTTGATTTATGATGATCCTATGATTGAAAGATCTGACCTTATTAATATCACTCTTGCAGGAGTTCTGCTTTGTGGCTGTGATGTATGGCTTGAGTCACACATTGTAGAGAGGATCAGTGATAACAGCACAAGTTTTGCATGTAAGGTCTCAGAACCCATCCCTGAAAATTCTTAAGAATTGGAAAAAACAATACTTGAAACCATGGAAAACCAGAACCAGTCAGCACCAATGACACTGGGTTAGCTGGACTAATTTCTGATTAAGTACATGGTAGTTTCCTAGGGTCTTGTGTACTGATACTGCATTTCTGTCTGGTTTTTCAATGCATGAAAGAAGATACATATTCACCAACAATGATTATATTCAATTTGCTACTGAACAGCTAAACCAGGGGTCCTCAAACTAAGGCCCAGGGGCCGGATGAGGCCCCCTAAGGTCATTTTCCCAGCCCTCGCTCAGGGTCAACCTAAGTCTGAAACGACTTGAAAGCACAAGTTCTTCATTTTAATTATTGTATTGTTTTAAAGTGTTTTTTGAACTACAAATAAGATATGTGCAGTGTGCATAGGAATTCATTCATATTTTTTTCAATTTATAATCCGGCCCTCCAACAGTTTGAGGGGCTGTGACCTGGCCCTCTGTTTAAGAAGTTTGAGGACCCTTGAGCTAAACATAATAAAGGGTTGTTGGCTTTTAAAATCAAACGAGACTTTCTTATTCTCATTGGCAGCTTTTTTCCAAAGGATAAAAGCAGATGTTACCAAAGTAAACAACTATGGTCATTTCAAAAGAGGCTGCCTGCCACAGCTGTTACCAGTGATAATGAAATATAATTGTTTGAAGAATGAACCAAGGTAAATAGTAAGTGGATCAATTCTCACTAATCTTTCTGGACTGCTCCAATTGTACTGGAGGCTGGTAGAAGGGACTCAGCGTACTTCCCAAGAAATCTAAACAACTGGGTGAAAACTCAACTATATATATTATGGATTAGGTATGCAGTGCAGTAATGTTTTCAAATGTATTGACTTTCCTTCATTGAAGCAACCCTTTTTCTGATGAAGACATCCTGTGGTACACTGTCAGTGATGCTCCAAACTGTAGATTGGCATAGCTTTCAACCAAGGTATTGGCAGAAGTATTCCAAAATGGTTAGCAATTCTCTCCAAAGAATATCTTCATACCTTTCTAAGATCGATATTAGGAGCTTTAGTCTATCCTCAAGTGTACCTTTCTTTGCTGTTGACATTGAGTGCTAATTCGAAGTCCTGGGATATACTAAATAATTTAATGAATCAAAATATATACCTCCTCCATTTTTTCCACAAAGGTAAGGGAACCTCCACACATTTCCTAAGCCAATAGCATAGCCGACACAGGACATAAGAAAGTCAAATCTCCCCTTCCAGGTGTCTCTGTCTGGAATGTCTCCTTTTGTCTTCTGCACCTTCACTACCAATGTCTTAGGCTTGTCATTGGTGATTGAGGCATCACTGAGTTCTGTGGAGATTTGTCCATCAGCTACTTTTGTTCCATTTGTTGCCATGTCTCTAGGTTTAGACTGAGCGGCTCTCGCAGCTGGACGAGAAATGTCAGCACCAGTCCACGTGGACAGCAGTTTTGCGGCTCTTGACTCCCCAATTAAAGATTGATGTGATTGTTAAAGTATTAGTAGAGATGGTGCTCCAAGTATTAAAATCCAAATTGGTATCTTGCAATAGGTGCTTGTATTAATCTGTAAAAAAGATTAGGAGACATTTATATTTACTTGTCTCAAGTATCACTTGCAAGCAACAAAATTCAAAGCCTTCAAGTAATTTGAATAGTCCTTCAATTTGCAACCTTGATTCAAAAACACCAGTGTAATTACATTTCTTATCTAACTACAGAAGCCCTTCTGGGAGAGAACAAGAATTTACCCAGTGGCCTCCATAAAAATGCAGCTTATAAAAGAAACACATAGAGTAGGGAATGTATAAACCTATACAGTACTTGTTTTCCTAAAGTTAAAAGTCTTTTAACTCCATTCATTATGAAGAGGAAGTGCCAGGAGAAGCAAAAAAGAATGAAATAGAGATAAAAGGATAAGGCACTTATTCAACAATAGTTTTGGTAAAGTATTAGTCTTACTAATAACTGTAAAACACAGAAAACTTTTTTCAGAAGGTGTGGGAGACAATTGGAAAGTTACAGGTTAATTAAAGGAGAGATAAGGGTTTTGAGAAGATAGGTCTTTTGACAGTGAGGATGCAATCCAGTTGGAGTGTGCTGATGCAAAGTTGGGGAGGTTATAGTAAGTTCAGCATTATTATTTAGTTTCAGATTATGTTGGTTCCCAAAGCTCCAGCTAATGTTACCTGGCTTCACTGCTTCTTCAATTTCCACAGAATAGGAAATCTTGACAGCCCTAATTCTCTGCAATATTCCAAATTTTAATTCAGAATATTGCACATGCTGTTTTCCCTAGAATGCACTTCCTCTCCTGAACACCCCCACACAGGTAATGAAACTCATTTTCATTTCCCCAAAAAATACTATAACGCAATCCACAAGGAGTGTACATTTTCTTATCTGGGAGAATGATTAATGATGATAATAGAAAGCAGTCTGAAAGAGCTTAAACACTATTTTCTAGCACCACCTGCTGAAGGAAATAAAGAAGTGCTAATATGATATTTCTATTTTTCCAAAATATCCTAAAGGCATCAGATAGCCTGGTCATAACAAATTTCTACATGGAACACTTTGAGAAATAAGCCCTGAAAACAGTAACAAAAAAGCCTAATACATGGTTAAGATTTGTGGATGACACCATCAACATTTGGAGCCGTGGAGAAGAAGCACTAAACAAGGTTTTGGACCACATCATCATCCACAAACCAAATCAAGAATTGAGTCACACAGTTTAAATTAAAGCTGTGCAAATTGAATCTGTGAACCCCAATTTCTCCAAGGTGGACTGAACCACCTAAACTGGGCTCTTCAGGCCAATGGGTATTCTACAATAGACACCAGAAGAGCTGCAAGAACAAGAACAAGCCATGAGAGTAAAGGCAAAGATCCACCTGCAGGAAAAGTGTTCTTACTATACATCAGGGGAACTGCTGACCTCACAGGAAAACAGATGAAGGAGCACAACCTACAAACAACCTACAGACCCACTAAGAAAATTCAACAAATGCTACACTAAGAAAATGATAAGAGGGATTCTCTACCCACTGCAGGAGTCTACCATATACCATGCAGCTGTGGAAAATCTACATAGGGGCCACCAAGCACATTGCCCACACACATCAAAGAACATGAAAGGTACTGCAGACTAATTCAACCACAGAAGTCAGTTATAGCAGAACACTTGATGAAACAACCTGGACACAAAATATTATTTGAGAACACAGAAATGCTGGATCACTCTTACAATCATGTCAGACTATAAGGAGAAGCCATTGAAATCCACAAGTATGTGGACTATTTCAACAGAAAGTAGGAAGCCATGAAAATAAACAAAATCTGGTTACCAGCATTAAACAACACCAGAATCAAGATAGCAAATAAAGAACACCACTCAAAAATGGGAATTCCAGAGAGCAAACAATCAAGTGCCAGTTAACACCTCCCAAACAGAAGATGCCTCCAGCCACAACAGCCAGGCTATCACTATGCAAATACCATCACTGATTGACTTTGTAGCTACAAGGTTACTCAACGCTAATCAAGTTTGCTAATCGTAACATTCATGCTTGCTTCAAACAGACAAGGGTTCTTTCTCCCACCCTGGACATTCCATAGATACACGCACGCACACACACACACCACTTGCCTCACCTCCAAAAGACCTGTGAAGATGCCAGCCACAAATGCAGGTGAAACGTAAGGGGAGAATCCTACTGGAACATGGCCATACAGCCTGAAAAACTCACAGCAACCCAGGCATCACATATCCCATCTGATCGATGGAAGCTCACCAACACTATCAGAGTATTTCTAAGAAAACCATATGAAATTCGTGTTCTTGACATAAGTTGAGAGTCAATTCGAAGGCACATAAAACACATACTCATTGTACTGAGATATTCCACTTGCTAATTGTAACATTCATGCTTGCTTCAAACAGACAAGCGTTCTTTCTCCCACCCTGGACATTCCACAGATTCCATACAAATTTATAAAATAAAATTTGTATGGAATCGCAATAATATGAACATTATAATGAAGCTATTTCACAGTGGGAGAAGGAATAGCAATAGTAAATCTTTCTGAAGAAACAACAGAGGCCTGGCACCAAGAGACTACCAATTATGATGTAAGGTTACTTTATGAAAGGTCAATAAGAACAAAATGTAAATGCAATGCACTCTGGAACTGAAATATTCAAAGTCCTCATCAAGTATATGTAGTCTATTGTGATGTTATTATTCAGTTTCTTCCCTGATTTCAGGACAGCGAACAAAATAGCATGTAATGAAATGCATTTGGACAGTAGCCTTAATATACTGGGGATATAGGAGCAATTTATCTAAAATAAAGAGCAGCCTCTAACTATGATATTCAGTTTGCTTCTGAACACCTTTGAAGCCTCGCAAAAACTTTTTTTGGTGGAATTTTATTTTCACATTAAAATCAAAAACAGTGTGAAAAGTAAGGAATTGTATCTGGTTTCTCACTCAGAAATGACATTGGCACCTCCATTATGAAGAAAACATACATTTCCTTCATTACACATTTTGAGTCTGGGCTTTGAACAATAATAGTGATATTTTTAGAAGAAAAATTGAGCTTTTACCAACAATTAGAATGAACAGGAATTGGGTAGATAATTTGGGCTCAACACTGTGTAGCATATTAACATGTTAACCATAGATTTGGGTTTCAACAAATGGTATGTAGATTCGTTTGTTTTATTGATGTTTTAAAGTCCAATGTATGAAAATTAAAATTGAGCTCCCTTTCTAAAAAGCTACACCAAACCAATTTATTTTCCTACAAACAACTGTATAGAATATTGCATTCAAATATTCCAACTGTAGCTTTAAAAAATTGGAAAGAATTGACTGAAGGTGGCTTGACTCAATAATCACCTTCAATTAGCATCATTTGCATTATATGCATGCTTCTCTATTAAATTTGAGTGTATTAGCATTTTCATTTCTCCAGTAATCCTTTTCATTTATCTGTAGGCTAAATTCCTAAAACAAATTTCTAAAGCAATCCCTCTCACCCTCCACATATACAGAATTAAAAAACACTTTACAGGACTCCAAAACCACAGTACAAGCATGCTGCTGACAAAGAAGCTCCTTTTTACAAGGCCTTTTAGGGGTACCCAGGGAAGCTCTATCTGTTTTCCTTGTCTTTGGTCTAGCTAGAAAAGAGAGGAGGCTTTTGTTTGTTTGCAGGATTGACATTGGGAGAATAGTGAAAGAGGACTAGAGCAGTGGTTCTCAACCCTCCTAATGCCGTGACCCCTTAATACATTTCCTCATGTTGTGGTGACCCCCAACCATAAAATTATTTTCGTTGCTACTTCACAACTGTAATTTTGCTATTGTTATGAATCRTCATATAAATATCTGACATGCAGGATGTGTTTTCATTCCTTGGACCAAATTTGGCACAAATACCCAATATGCCCACATTTGAATGCTGTTGGGGTTGATGGGGGAGTTGATTTTTGTTATTTGAGAGGKTTTTTTTTGCTGGAATTTATARTTCACCTACAACCAAAGAGCATYCTGAACTCCACCAACAATGGAATTGAACCAAACTTGGCACACAGAACTCCCAGTACGAACAGAAAATACTGGAAGATGTTGGTGGGCATTAACCTTGAGTTTGGGAGTTGTAGTTCATYTATATCCAGAGAGCACTGTGGACTCAAACAATGATAGATCTAGACCAAACTTGGCAGGAATACTCAATATGCTGAAATGTGAACACTGGTGGAGTTTGGGGAAACTAGACCTTGGTATTTGGAAGTTGTAGTTGCTGGGATTTCTAGTTCACCTACAATCAGAGAGCATTCTGAACCCCAGCAACGATAGAATTGGGCCAAGCTTTCCACACAGAACACTCATGAGCAACAGAATATACTGTGTTTTCTGATAGTCTTTGGTGACCCCTCTGACACCCCTTCGTGACCCCCCCAGGGGTCCCGACCCCCAGGTTGAGAAACACTGGACTAGAGAGAGACTATCGGTTTTGAACTGCAGCAGCATGTCTGCAATAAATAACACAAATAAAGCTTGATCTGGGAAATAATGTGATTCTAGAGTCTAACTGATCCTACTGTAACTGTGTATGCTCATGTGCAACAGGCAGAGTAAGCAGCTGCTTACAGAACAACTTACAAGCATTTGTGAAAAGCAAAACAGAAAGATTAGCTGTCCTTACCAGTAGCTACCCCAAGCATGTTGAAAAAGGATAATTTCCCCTACCAAAACAGAAATCATAAGAAAAGTAAAAGCTGTTGAAAGAATAAAAAATGTATCCTGGAATGCATTTTGGAAGAAGTTCTCAAGTGGTTACTAGAAAACTCGAAGTGTTTTGGAATAAAAGGTTTGCTCAAATGTATTGAACCTTATTGGATGTGTGTTTGTGTGTGTGTGTGTGTGTGTGGGGGGGGGGGGTTGTTTGACATAAAAAATATCTCCCTATTTTTCCATGTTATTTCTATCTCTAGTACCAAAGTTTCTGTTAGAAAGCAGGGATATATTAATATCATTAACTGAAGTATAT